ATTGCTTCTTGAACAAGATATGAGCAAGAATTTATTACTGATCCTGATCATTTTCAATTGTAACAGAACACACACACACATCCTTCCTCAAAGACAAAATCTCTTAACTTTAAAACCTTATCTCCCCCTGCAAACTCTGCATCTTCAAGGAATCGTATATTTTCTATTTTCGAAAATTTATCTAATAGTGGGATCTTTAAAATTTTTTAACCCTTTAACAGTTTCTTTATTTGGAACTTTATTAAAAATATAAGTTGCAGTCTTTAGTACTTTTTCCTAGAGAGTTTTGGTAAAGGTGAAATGATTAGTCATACTCCTTACAAATCCTTAAGTATTCTGTTTCGTTTTTTAGTAACATCATTCATGCTAGGGAACCCTGGCATGGTGCATTGTGGGATGATTCCACATTTCTCTAGGAATTTTAACAAAAATCCTAGACATTGTTCTCTTGATCCGTCATATCTATTATAATATTCACCACCACTATCGATCTAACATATTTTATTCTTTTTGTTGAGTTGATTTTCAACCTAGTCAAGTAAGCTTTGAATATGTCCAGTGATTGATATTTCTCTTGATAAGATATGGGTACCATAGTGCAAAAAAGATTCATCTATAAACATAATAAATTACCGTTGACAATTTCAAAAAGTCAAAGGAAATTGCCCACAGATATTCGTATAAATTAGTTCTAAGACGTCTGGAGTCCTATTGACACATAATCTCCTTATATTTGTCTGTTTCCCCTCTATGTGGTTAACTTAATGGATTCTCCTTATATTTAATTTTAAAACATTAAAATAATATTTAACGTAAATGAGAAGAAAAGAAAAGGATAGAATCATACATATAAAAGGGTAAAAAGTAAAATATATTTGTTTTTGTCATATTTTACCTTATAACAATTCTTTTATGTTTTATAAAATAAAAAAAGATGTGAGAGCAAATCATCTAGAAATCATATATTGAATAAGATGAACTTTATCAAATGCAATTTATTTTTCAACATTCCTCATCGTTCTTACTCGTCTTGAAACTAAAACAAGAATTACACATTGGAATTAAGAATGACAACGGGGTTCTCCTAGTCGATCCTGATCTGATATTTGAAATATATTTATATTATTCCTTCATAAATTTTTGAGCAAGAATTTAAATGTCCTATTTTACTATTATGTTTACTCATTTTATTTTTAATTATAACTAAAATTTCAACATATAACATAAAATAAAATAAAATAAAAAAGAGCGGGAAGTGATATTCCTTGTCCTTGCCCCAATTTCCTAGCGGGACAGGACTACAAACTAGGTCATCAATTAACTCAAACACATAGGGTGCATTTGATACTGTTCTCAAGTTGTTTTAGTTTTAGTTTTTAGGGTCTGTTTGGGCCCGATTTTTTCACAAAAAAATTGATTTTTTAACCGTTATTTCACTATTTCAGTTATCATATTTGACTTCTTTTCACACAGGTGGACCCCACTTTTTTCCTAACGGTCAAAAAATCAATTCTCAAAATCACTCCCAAACTGGCTTTTAGTTTTGCAAAACATTGAAAGCACGTTTGATCTAGTATTTTTAAAAATGACTTTTTGAAAATGCATTTTTTAAAAATAAGGATAAACTTATAACATAAAATTCAAAATATATTTTTATTGTTTTTAGTGAAAATTTTGAAACACTCATAACATGAAAAACAAGCGTTCAAATAAAATTTTAAAAGTTAATAAATTTAAAAAATAAAAGTATAAAATTCTAACAAACAAAATTCAAAAAAGAAAATTCAAGAAAAATGAATTCTAAAAATAAAAATGATAAAATCCAAAAATTAAAATTTTGAAAAAAAAAATAAAAATAAAAATAAAATCTACAATTTTAAAAAACTAAAAATTCTAAAAGAATAAAATTATAAAATTTTCTAGAATAAAATATTTAAATGAACATAGATAAAAATATTCTCAATCACATCATCAATTTTAATTTTTATATTTTGAAATCAATTTATTAATCATTTTTATTTTTGTAGATAGAGAAAATATTGTAAAATTTGAAACGTATTTATTATTTCATAATATACTAACATAAATTTGTTTTATTTTTATTGAATAATCAAATTTCGTAAAATAAAATATCATACAATAATTTTTCAAAATTTCAAGCCAAACATATTTTATAGTTTTCTGTTTTGAGGAAAAATTTAAAATAACAAACCAATCCATTTTTTAGCAATTTAAAACAAGCACTTATAAATTATAAATGAATTTAAAATTGAAACATGGATAAAATCAAATAAGCCCTTATTTTTGGAATCATGAAAATGTTTGGAAACTATTCATGAAGGGAAAAATTTATATGTCAAGCGTATTCTTGAAAAATTTACGTGTCAAGCGTATTCTTTATACCATTTCAAAACCCAGGTTGAAAATTCAAAATTCAAGTAGAAATTTAATTAATAAAAAATATTTATTAAATAAATATAATAAAGTCACAGTTTAACAATTATTGGCCACAAATTAATTTATTGACCACATATCATCAAATTAATTGGTCACAAATATTTTCGAGGTCATAGATCAAAAAATTTTCAGGTCACAGATTATCAAATTTTAAGATCACGGACCAAATTTTAAGGTTAAGGACCATCGCCAAAAAAAAAAAAAAAAAAAACACACACCGACAATCAACCCCAACCACCAAGCACCCCACCTTGATCCCGATCCACCGCCACCTCTATCAAATCTCCAACCACCATCTCGACTATCGCCAAAAACCACTAAGATTGTCACCACTAATCACACAACACCCCAACCCACAATCTCACCAACATAACCACGTCTCCTAACACAATCACTGTCAGAAATTGCAAACAATACACCACCGGCACCTCCCAACCTCAACACTGCTACCTAAATCATGACATCGTCAACACCACTGTACTCATGGTACCCCACAAACCAGATTCGAAGCCACCTACCTACCACATCACATCTGAACCACTGCAAATTGATCAACACACCAATGTACACCGGCATGCAACCACCACCGCATCCTCACCCACCATCACCGCAACCAACCACACCATTATCTCACAGCATCGATCTGAGACTAAATGTCGCTGCAACAACTAAGATCTGAGCGTGAGCACAGTTCGTCGCAGCGGCGCTCTTATCCAAGCATCACCACAGCATACGTCAGGTAAATATGGTAGACTGACCAGCGATTGATGGAACCGACGATGAATGATACACAGAGACGATGAAGAAGAATAAAAAATGGGTGGAGAGAAATTAAATGGGGTACAGGGAAAGAGGGCTCCGAGAGAGAGAGAGACGAGGATTTGAATTTGTTTAGGGTTTGTTTGGGTGGCGTGGGTATAAATATATAATACCTGATTTCTGATTAAAAAATCTTCCAATCTGATTTTTGTATTGTCATTTTTAAATACCTGAATTTTTGTAATTTCCACATTCATAAATCGTTAATTTATAAATAGATAAAAATATATACTGAATAAATAAATGACTAGTATTTATTATCCTTAAAATATGTAAGGCCTATTTGGCATCTTTTATTAAAAATTAAAAGGAACATATAAAATTTAAAAGTTACTTTTTAAATTGTTTGATTAATTTTATAAAAATGCATCTTTTAGTTAAAATAAAATTTATAGGAAACTTGTCCAATATACTTTCTTTAAAAGTAATTTTGTAAGAAAAAAGTTATTTTAGAAATTAATTCTCAATTTTTTTTAAATTAGCTCTTTTACAAAATGTAAAATGAAAAATAAAAATTATGTCATACGCGTACATAAATTTTAGGGTAATTGGCACAAAACGTCCCAACGTTTCATGTTGATTGTGGAAAACGTCTATACCTTTCATTTTTTGACATTTTCAAGCCAAAAAATTTCGGCCAACCACCGTCCAAATCACCGGATCTCTATATCACCGAAAAGCCCTCACTCCCCTCTACACATACACTCAATGAGCTTCCATTAATTTCATTCTAATGGTACAAATTCTCCTTCGCGCAGGTTAGGTTTCAATTCTCGATTTCTGAATGAATAACCATGTCCAGGCAACAATAGGGAAGACCTATATGCTCATTGGATGCGCAAGGAGGTGTAGGTATCTCAGGTGGTGGTTCGCGATCATGGGTCCCACCACCGACATAAAAAAATCGCCTGAAAGCTGCACAATGATCGTGTTCAAAGTTCAGCCGATTGGGTTTGATTGTGTGCATTAAAGGATGTTTGAAGACCATGGACAGGGACGTTTTAGTGTGTAGAATCGATCTGGAGGTTGTGTAGGGCATGGGTGTCGCCGGAAGTGAAGATTCCAGCCACCGTTTGTTGTGTGAGTAACCTATTTTGGCTTGAATTTCTAGGAAATTGATTGGAGCTATGACCGGATCTTGGGTAGGTTGTGAAGAGGGAAGTGAGGGTTTCAAGGTGGTATGTTAGTCCGGCCAAAGTGGCGGTTGTGTAGGGCATGGGTGTCACCGGAAGTAAAAATTCTGGCCACAGTTTATTGCATGGGTAACCTCTTTTGGCTTGAATTTCCAGCCAAATTGATTGGAGTTATAGTCGGATCTTGGGTGGGTTACGAAGATGGAAGTGTGGGCTTCAAGATGGTATGTTGGTCCCGTGTCTAAGGTGGCCGGAGGGTAGAGTTTTGGTGGTTCATAAGTGGTGGTTCTAAAATCTTAGTTGTGATGGATTGAGGGAGTATTGTGGATTCAATTGCACTTTTTTAAAAGTTTAGGGATAGGGTTGCAATTTATTTTGAATTTTTCTCTCTTTTTTTTTTGGTTTTTGTTTTAAATAAAAGAGTATAATTGTCATTTTACGTTCCAAAACAGTGAAAAGTACCTTTGGTCCAATGAAAGGTTAAAATAAGGACAAAAATGTCAAAAAATGAAAGGTGATGACGTTTTGCGCCAATTACCCTGAATTTTGGATCGATTGTGGTTGTTAAACCCAACTAAAGTAGAAAAAAAGAAAAATAAAATAAAAGAAAGAATAATTGGGGAATGTAGTAGATGGAACAAATCGAAGGAAGTATAAAGTCGCGCACCATTCAAAATCTAACGTCAGATAAAGCACAACTACGGTGGCGTCTCTCTAGGTATTTCTCTCAAAATTGATTATTCAATTGAAATTTTTAACATTTACTAGATGATTATTGCAGTTTGTGAAGCCCCTTTCGATTTGGTTAGCGAAGAAATTAAAGCATCGGCAAGATGGCTTATGAGTTAACTGAACAAAAAAGTGAGTATTTATTTTTTCCTTTACGTACTAGGATTATTATCCTTTTTTCTTTTATTATTTATTTATTATTATTATTTTTTTGTGTATTGCAATGTAATGATTTCTCAAATGGTGCTGGGATTCTGTGACTGAGGTATTCATTGCACTCTGTATGATAATTTGCAATAATGCTCTGTTTGGACGCTAAGCAAATGCTCTAGCGCGAAGGTGAGATAAGAGGATAAAGGAGAATCTGGGGGTGGGATCACAATTTAATTAAAAGAATAAAACTGGAATTGTTTATTTAGGTTAAAAAATGATCATTTAATCACAATTTCTTCATATATTAATAAGTTTTTCAGTTCTCTATTGTTTGTAGATCTTTATTCATGCTGAGCTCTGAGTAGATTCATATTTTCTTGTCATATAAATGGCAAACAAGCTGGACCAAACATTTAAGTTTCCTTTTTGTATGCAATGGAAATTTCAGAATTGGTTTCTTAAACATTCCATAGTTAATTATGTTTATTGAATTCAACAAGAAAAAGATGCGGGTTTAGTAGTGGAATGCCTCTGTAGAACCCTGAAATTTTATGAGTTGTGTTGCATATAATTTATTTGTCAATTGATAGAAATGCCATGTCTAGTCAAGTCTTTATGCAAGTCAATTTGTTATGCTCTATAGTTAAATAGATATATATGATTTTTCCTTAATGGTTGAGGGACTAAAGTGGAAATAAGTATTAAATTTATAGTTTTATTTAATTGGGGCAAATAGTTAACTATTGAAGGAATTAGAATTACCCTATCAATATTGGGCTCATTTTGAAGCTCACAAGACTTGAGAAAAAGTTTATTTGGATAAGTTAAACTCGAGTTAGAGCCAATGAAGAAAACTACTTAGTTCATAATTGTAGTTTTGATTTAGACTAAATTACCATAGTAATATTTGACTCGTATAATAGCTTATAATTTATCATGTATATTAGATTTGAGAAAAAGATAATTTGGATATAATCAAACTAAATTAAAGTTGATCCAAGAAAATTATGGCTAAAGAATTTTTTGAGAATTATACTATCTTAAGCTTTCACAGCCACTTAAAATAATTGAGAATGGATTACCTTTGTTAATTTGAATAATAAACAAACCCTTTATCTTATTTTCTTTATATTATAACTAATTTAATACTAATCCCATTCAAAATCGATCACTAATTCATATTAGGACTCCATCTTTACCAGGCCATGTGTATAGGCAGTCAAGTGTATAGATATGTATGATATGACCGTCCAGATAATTTCAAAATTTGTTTGATAAATTTTGGTCAAATTCAGTTGCTTGGGATAGACACCACCTCCTAAATGAAGTGATTACCCTTCGATCAATTCATTATAAATAGACACAAGGGATTCGCAGTATTATGTCACATTATTTTTCCTCCGAGTAATTCTTTTGTTCTAGTCTCTCTCTGTTCTTCTATAGAATATTGATTTTTACAAAGAAAAAGGGTGAATATATTAAGTCTTTGGATTTGCAATCAAGAATTTCATGTCCAGCAATTTCGCTCTACACATTCATTTTAAAAAGGTGAAGTGCTTAGTGCTATTAGTGGTTTGTCTACATCTTTTTAATTTTAAAGACGATGTTAATTTATAACGATCCGAGCTTCTTACCCGACTGTTCTCTTACGTTTCGTACGTTTGGGAGGGCATTTGTCTTTGTTATCCTTCACGGATTTCTGTCGCGTTCCCTAGGATTTGAACATACGACCTTAAGTATTCAACTTAAGTATTTATTAAGGAGAGGTTATGTGTTCGAATTCTAGGAAACGCAACAGAAAATCGTGAGAGCTAAGAGGACAGATGCTCTTCCAGAGAGAATAGTACGTAAGAGAACGATTGTGCACAAGGCTCGGATCGTTATAAAAAATGCGCGTTCCTCAGGATTCAAGCACATGACCTCTCCTTAAGAGAGATTTAAGTTGAATCACAGTATCAATTAGACAAGTTATAAAAATGCGCATTTTTTGTAACGATGCAACCTCTACACTCAAGCCATTATATCATATGTATATTTGAATTCTGAAGTTGCGATAAAATTTTGTGAGAAATAAGATAGGCTTAGCTCTCCTAGAGTTGACAGTACAAATGATATAACGGTTTAGGCATAGAGGTTGGGTAGTTACAAAAAAATACACATTTTTTGCGACAATTGAGCCTCGTGTCCTGCCGTTCTCTTACGTATTGTCTATTTTGGGAGGGAATCTTTCCTCTTACCCTCGCGACTGTTTGTCGCATTTTTCAAGACTTGAACACATGACTTTCCGTTAAGAGAGATTTAAGTTGAATTCTAGTAACAATTGGACTTCCCAAAGCGGACAGTAAGTAAGAGAACAGTTGGACACGGGGCTCGAGTCGTTACAACTTTATTGAAGTGTACAAAGTAAACCTTACTCACCTCTATGGCGTCACACACAGTCATCATGTCTGAGCTACAACTTAAGAAGTTATTATGATTAATTGAGAACCATCATTGTTCTTTAATGTTCAAGCCAAATTCCACTCTAAACCCACTCTCATGAACGCCTTCAGAAAGTAGTCAGGGCATCTCCCTCCATCATGTCCACTAGTTTCTCAGTCTGTCACCAAGGGATAAACAGAGCCCTCACCTCTTGCTCTCTAATTCCCTCACTGAAGATTAAACACCACCCCTCTCCTAATCAGCATGATTCTACCACCATAATTATTACCAGCTTCCTATTGGATGAATGCTATGAAGCAACATTATGATTCCTTAATATGAGATCAAAGCTTTAATGCATCTAATTTATAGAAGTTGAAGTCCTATATCACATCTGAATGTAGTTTTAAATTTTGACTTCTAGGTTTTCACTTAGTATGGTTGTGGTTATACGGATGGTGTTGGGTTTCTGGTTTATAAAAGTAGATTATTTGGTGGAATAACTGGTGTTCTGACTTGGAAAAAGATATTAATTTCACTGAAGATTGATGGTGGTAGTATATTTAGTAGTAGGGTTCTTGTGGTAGGTATTTAAGAAGTTGGTAGGGAAGACAATGAGATGGTTCTATTTTGGGTCTTTTCCCCTTATGTAACAGTTCTGACAATTCTTCACACTGGTGATGTGGCATCACGTATCAGTTGGTAACGGTATTTTTTTATGTTCTAGTTGTATGATTAGCATCTTAGCATTGTGGATTGGAAAAAAGTATTGTTCTGGGTGTATATAAATATTTTGTTATGTAAGTGCTTTAAACACAATTTTTTTCTTCTTTTTCAATCAACTACATATCTTTATGGATTTCAGTTTGAAAAATTAGTCATATAACTTAATGATTTCTGGCAAATTATATTTAAACTCTTCAATAAATAAAACATTATGCAAAAGAAGAAGGAAGTTTACTAATATACCTGTATTGATGATACTTATTTTTCCCTAGCCAATAAGGAATTTCCCAATATTACCTGTATTGAGGATGCATATTTTCCCTATCCAAAATTGATTGTTCCTATTTCTTTGGAAGTGAATTTGTTGAAGAGGTCCTTGTTGCCTGTCATATTTTTGGAATTTACATACTTGCTCTTTAAGACTTGCATGATGGTATTCTGTGTTGATTTTTTCTTCCAAATCAATTACCTACTAAAGTAGTATATCTTTAAATTGGGTTTTATTTTATAGGGTCCACTATGTTACTCATGATGCTGTTTAGATATCAAACCTTCTTTCGTCTATTATATTTTGTATTGTGTGTAGATGCCCGCGTTTGTGCGTAACTATACCTAATATTACCCATGACCAAGGGGCAAGTTTTGGATCTTTTGGTCTTTTTGGACACCTGGAAGTTTACCCAAATTCTCCTTTTTATTTTATTTTATGATCATTTTGTTAGACATCACACTTTTTCATCAAGGATTTAGATTCAGCATCTGACCATATAAATTGTTTTAAATCAACACATGTTTTGCATGAATCAAAATTAATAGCTTCTCATCTAGCATGCTCAACTGATATCTTATCCAATTGAACAGTTATATGTCATATACAAGCATGCACTTTCACATTTTAAGATTTGACAAAATTGAGTTTAGAGCTCTTTTCTTAAATATGCTACTTAATTTAAAATCTTTTAGTAGATTCATTTTATAGCGTTATATCATTTAGGATTTAGGTCATCAGTTTTAGAAGGTACTTGTTTTGACTCATCCTCCAAATCCATAAGACATATGTTGGTTTGTTCTTCACTAGACACACTTTCCTCTTTGTCTGAATCATCTAAGCAAAGGTCATCCTCATCTCTGTAGCAAGGGGCTCCATCTACGTTTCCAGATTACATACTTTTCCCTGTTGTTTTCTTCTTCCTTCTGAATGGGCAATCAACTTCCATCTGTATTTGAGACATCAGTCTCTTATTTTTCTGGAAGTATGTCTGTTCTCTTAGTTTTCAGTGCAACGTCATTTTTTTACTTCAACTATCTCCTTTCTCGCTGTCACTTGTTGCATTGATCTTCTTCATTTTTGTTGTCAGTATTTTCCAGCTTATTTGCTCAATCTATCTAATCATGAGATCACCAATCCATTTATCTGCTATTAGTGTTGAGACTTATTTTGCTTCATTGATAGCTGTGACTTTGGCTTGCCATTCCTTTAGTTTTGATACCTTTCCTCTTCAGAATAGGTTTAGTCCAGCAATGCTAACTTGATGAATATGGCACTGAACCTTTAGTAGTTTGAGAGGGAATTTAGACCCATTAAATTTAGTATTTCATGCCAAGAGATGTACCACAGATATAGTGAATGCCTCGCTTGAAAATAGGGATAATATGAGATTACCATCGATAAGAAAGTTAAGGGTGGAAATGTCTTCTAGACTGCACCTCCTTTAGGCACACCTCTGGTTAAAGAAACGTATAAAACTGTTCTTGATTTCCTTTTGAGCTTTTTAACACTTCAAATTCACAGAACTGGTGTAGAATAATTAGTTTATCAATGATACCATGTTTTGAGGCCTATTACAATTTCCTCATATTACTTTATATGTTAAGTGTTTAATTTGTTAACTATTAATCCACCATTTCCGAACCAAAAATTTTATTTTCTTTATTCCACCTTTATATCTTTGTTTATCAAGCCTATTTGTTGAAACATGGATGGTTTTATATTAAGAGATAAGACATATTATGAGCAATATCCCACATCATTTATGTGAAGTTGAGCAATTTATAAGATTATTCTTTAAATTCAGATTAGCTAGATTAATCATTTTGGACTTAGTGAATTGCCCTTGCATTTTTGGTCTTGGAAGTGCAGGTATGATTGTGCAATGTGCATCTTGACTAGAAGTGTCAGAGAGCTTCCTCTGGGTATTTTAGATTGTGTGGAACTTTGCAACATGTTTTGTTTTAGAGTATGGCTTTAGTGGTCCCCTAACAAGGATGATTGATCTTCAACAAGATAGAGTTGTGAGGACGCAAACAATGCCCCGCTCCTAAATTGGATGCAAGTGTTTGATTGATCTAAGAACAATAGCTAATGATTTCAACGTAGGCAAATCCATGTCAAACCTTTTTAGTAGAGGTGGGCGCGGGTCAGTTTAGAACCGAACCGAACCAAAATTTTTGGGTATATAGTAAATGGAACCGTCGGGTCCAAATATAATTATGGAACTGTTCGGGTTTGGTTCCATTCGGTTCAGTTCGGTTCGGTTCCGTGGTATAATTAATTTTTTTAACATTTATAATAACATTATATAAATACAACTAATGATATATTCAATGATTTTGGAATGTCAAAGACTAGTAGATTACCTTGTTCAAATGACCGTTACGGTCAAAGTTTCGGTCGGTGGAGGTCATAGCTTCGATCAGAGGTCACAATGTCGGACGGCGATTGTATATGTTTTGGAATGTCAGTAAGGCTGCGACAGTAAGTGCAATAGTCGAGATAGCGTTATACACTTTAGTGTAGGTGTTTAGGGTTATTTAGTAGGTTAGATCTTTATTGGGCTAAGAAATGAAACAATAAATGGGCAATTGGGCCAAAAATTAAAAAATTAGAAATGAAACAAGTTATTGGGCCAAAAATTTGAATTTAGAAATTGTTAATTTGTTTAAAAAAAATTAAAATTAAAATAATTTGATTTATTCAATATAAAAAAAATTAGAAAGATTCGGTTCTTCGGTTCTTGGTCTAAAATCGAGAAACGAACCGTACCCGTCGGTTCTCAATTCAGATATCCGTTCGGGTATTTAACTTGACAAGAACCGTCGGGTACGGTTCGGTCGGTTCGGTTTGGGAGATTTGCCCAGCCCTACTTTTTAGGCCAATAAATACGAGGCTCAAATTGTAATGTCTTACGACTCTTACCCTTATATTTCAATGTCATCTGTTTTAGGCATTATAAGTTATTTTATTGAAGAGAGAGGGACATTGAAACAGTTGCAACAGTGTCAATGACATTCATCTTTCTTTAAATTATTATCTTATTCGTTCGTTTACATATTCTATCTGATTATTATCTAGTTTGATGTTGATCCTATGAACATCATCCAATACTATAGAGAAGGAAACAGGTTAAGAGAGTAAAATAGTGTGCCTATAGAAAGGGCACTACAGTCTATTGGTGTTTAAGAAGTGTTCCTTTATTATTTGTTTTTATTTTTAAATCAAATTGCTACTTGAAATTTGCTATAAGGGGATGCTACATCCCCATGTGTTGGTATCAAAGATGAAAGCATTAACAAGATTGTTGTAATATATGCAGACCACTCATCATTATGCTAAACATAGCTGACAAAAGAACTTAAAAAAGCATCTCAACTACTGCGAGCAAGTTCTTTTCCTTCTCTAGTAGTTGTCTTTTCATTGCATTGTTAAGTTTCACAAACCCTCTAGCCTCCTACATTCATTTTCTTGCTTCTATCCAGCCTTCACTTTATAACATTCCTCGTCTCATTTCCTTTGGATATGTACTAGCAAAACCTCTTTATTTTTATCTTCTCCTCGGCCTGAAGACACCTTCAACAGCTCACTGAGCCATTTCTTCCTCCTAAGAATTATCCTTTGGGTTGGGTGAAGTTAGATTGCTTCTATATTTTTCTCCTTGGCCTAAAATTATTCTCTCTATGCCAACTTAAAGCTGTTTTGAGTGATACTTTTGAACAATCTATTATATAGACCCAGACAGCTGTTGAATTCTAAAGCTTAACAAGATTCACACATTTACAAATACTTTTAATAGTCTAAAATCAAGTTCAAGGCATTCAAAAAACAACTTTCTGATTTCCGGATCAAAGCTGGTGTGACTAGAACGGTTTTAGATGTACATTCCTTCCCCTCCTGAAAGAAACTATTTTAGATACCTAGAATGTCTTAAAACCTATGGTACATAAACCAGATTTGGTCTCTATTAATTTTATGAGTCTAAAAGAATTGGATTCTTTTAACTTAACAAGCTCGAGGACAAAATATAAGTGTTAGACATTAAAAATAGGTTTAGATTTGTCATTCCATTTTTTGCGCGGTACCTTTTGAAAATTTGGATGTGATTATGACGTATTCACATGTTATTTTTAAATAAACTTTAATGTAAATATTTGAGGTTATCAACTTCAACGTAGTAAAATGTGTGATACCTAATAAGTCTTGTGTAACTAATGTTCGCTTGTCCAAAATTTGAAATTATTCTATATATGACTTAATGGTTGCTTTTTCTGTTATCAAGCTGTAAATACTTTGTAGCTCTTTAGAATGTGATAGTTTTGCAACTTCAATACAACTCTATGCATTAGAAACTTGCTCTCTCAAATTTCAAATATCACATCCTTCATATCCTATTAATGGAGTGATTTTTATGTTGTTAAGTTTTATGTTCTATGTAATTGAGTGGTGCTATGTGTAAGAGGGATGGGAGACGATTGATCATTTGTTTATTCATTGTGATGGTGTTCGTTGGTTGTGGAAGAGTATTCTAGCGTCTCAACATATGGATTGTGTATTGCCTAAGTGTATAGAGGATGTATTGCTACTTGGAGGAGAAAACTACGTGATAAGAATAACAAGCTTGTATGAGATTTTATCTCGGGATCTTTTGTATGGTATGTGTGGAAAGAAAGGAGCAGTTGCTGTTTTGAAGACCAAACACGAATGACAGATCAAATCAGAGAACTGTTTTATCTGACTTTGTATACTTCGTTTAATGCCACGGCTTCTAATCCTATAGAATGACTGTCTAGTTTCTTATTGTTTCCTTCTTGTTTAAATTGTTAATACACTTCCTGTATATTCTTTTTTGATCAATAAAAGTACCTGATTATCTATTAAAAAAAATATTTGTGTAAAATCATTATAAAGTAAACCTCTATAGAAGCATTTGATAGGTGGGGTGATAAACAAGAACTGAGCTATAGTGCAGTTGAGTTTTTCTCTTGAAAATTTACTTGCAAACTATATGAATATTATGAATTAGTTAATTGAGTCAGTTAAAGCTTTTGCTGTAACTTGGTTAACCACACCAACTAGTGAGACGGGGTTGATTCTGCTGTAGTGATAATGGAAGTTAGTCTCTTCTGGAGCTGATTTGTTGGGAGATCCCTGGTGAAGGATGTAGGTCCAATAGACTGAACCATTAAATTCTTGAGTTGTTCATTCTTCTTTCCTTTTATCAGGGGATATCGTACCTTCTCTTTAATTTGGCTAGCTTTGTAGATTTGCTATATCTGTGAGCATTTTTCTGATGGAGTTCATTAGTGATAAGTGATAACTTGAATGAAAACACACCTTGAAAACAGATGCGCTCACAATTGACTTCTGCTTTAGAATTGAGTTTGGAAATCCGTAATGTATTTTGATGTTTCGATAATCATTTTCAGTACATTTGCTGTGTATCTGATGTGATAAACTGAAAATGCCTGATTGCTTGTCCAACCATGTTGAGTATTTTATTAAGAAACAGCTTCTCTAGATACTTACTTAAGACCTACGGCCAGTGGAGTTGATGTTCTGTTCTGCTAATGCATATTCAAATATGTCATCGTCGATTTTTATCGTTGTTACATTTATTCATGTTTTGTCTCTAACAATGGTAATATTGTTTAATACTTTCAGAGATTGGCCTGGGTCTCGTTGGTTTTGGCATCTTCTTCTCCTTTCTTGGCATAATTCTCTTTTTCGACAGAGGTTTGCTAGCTCTTGGTAATGTAAGACACTGTTATTGTTGTTGTTGTTATTATTATTATTATTTCAGTAGAAGGTCAAATAAGTCGCTGATTTTTATTTTTCTTAAGTAGATATTTTGGTTGGCTGGTGTAGTCCTTTTACTCGGTTGGCGTTCCACATTGAATCTGTTCACAAACAGAAGTAACTATAAGGTACTTGTGACAATGTATAAAATACCTGTTAGCTTTTAGATAATCTTGTGAGGTGTATATGTCTGGAATTTCAACATGCTTCTCCTATGAAGCATTTGTAAATATAATTGACTATGCGGCAACAATGAATGCCCTTATTTATTCTTGTCTATGTTAATTATGGAAATTTTGTGAGGTTGAGTTGTTTTATGGATTGTTCTTGTAAAGTGACTACTCTCTTATATCATTGCATAATGGTGTCAATGTCAGTAATAAACTTTCATGATATTGCTAAACAATTGCCCTTTTGTTGTAATACTGACATGATGCTAAATATAAATAAGTGTTTCCCTTAATCTGTCTTGATTCCACCTTCCATTTATCAGGTCATGTAAAATTTACCCACCCACAGTTTGTATATGAGTTTAGTCCTTCAATACATATTTGTTGTGTAACAAAGCCTTGTAGTTGAATTTAGTTTGCTCAGACACTGCGTGCTTGAGTTAAGGGTGTTGAACAAGCTATTTGAATGGAAATGGATGTTTTATATTTTACTCACTCTCTTCTGTCTCTCTTTCTTCTCATCCTCTAGGGTTCCATCGCATTTCTACTTGGGATATTCTTTATATTCGTTCGTTGGCCAGTAGTTGGTATAATTGTGGAAATGTATGGCTGCATAGTCCTTTTTAGGTAAGTTAGGTTTTTGATTTTGCTGAGTTGCTTTCTTGTTAAAATATTTGGTCTCAATTCCTTTGTGTGATATGTCTTTCTGCTCATAAGTATTTTCCTTTGTGTTCTTCACAGTGGTTTCTGGCCGTCTGTCAAGGTCTTCATTTATCAGATTCCAGTATTTGGATGGATTCTACAGTATCCTATTCTGGTAAGTTACCCTTAGCTTTCTTTTTCAATTTGCTATATATTTCTTTGTCTGCATACATTCTGCTGGTGCTTAGTTATGATTCCTTATTGTACTGATTATGTTATATGAAGCCTGTCTTCAGTTTAGTATGATTACAAACTTAATTGTCAAGATCACATTAAACTTTGTAAATGAGTGCAAAGTGGGCTTGACCCTCGTTACATTTTCGATATATTTCAGTGCATTAATGTGTAGGAATTATGACTGCATGAATGGTTTGCACATGGAGGATATGGAGCCTAGAAGCATGTACCTATTGTTAGCTGTTCACATTAAGCTATAGCCTAGCAAGATATGGATGCTAGGCTATTCGAGTATAAAGACACTGAAGGAAGTCTATTTGAGTATAAGTTTGCGAAGTTTGAATAATTCAAGTCATATGGTTCTCTCAGTAACCCATTGGACTGAAAAATTCTCCACTCTGCACTTAATCATAAGGCAGCTGTTTCCCGTCTTGTCTTTGCTTATATGGATGTTTGGCAGAATTATACCTTTGTGACTCGCAAGTTTGATATGTTAATTGCTGGCCTATTATACTGATTCCTGATCCCTTCTCAGTTTATTAATCGATTTTGGAGGAGCTCTGGTTGACTCCAAATTGAATCTCTGCTCGTGGAGTGATCTTTTGATCAGAGGCACGGCAAAACCAGAATATCAAGGTGAAAACTTTCCTCAAAAAATATTGTCAAGGGGACAGACTTGGAAGGGGCAAGTAGTATAATATACTGTATGTTTCCAAGAAAGTAATTTGTACTTGGGATTGAGCCTTAGGTATTCCCATTATATCACCGTAAAAAAAACAAAGTTTCTCATAGTCCGGACGAGAAAGGGAAAATCTTGCTTTAACTTTGTGAAATTCAATTATTTTTCGTTTCTGTTTTTTCTAGCGAGTCCTCGAACTTTTAGTTGTGATGCACGCGAATTCTCACTCGATAGACTTAGCCTGTTTTGTTGTAAACCTTCACACATCTTCGAGTTCTGTTTTGAGAGGTATTTTTGGTAGCTCACTCTTGAAATGGAAAGAACCCACTTTTCCAAAATGGAAGCAGAAAAGTAATGTTTGCTTTGTGTAAAATTAAACGCCCCCATCCTAGATAGTTCAGCCATGTCCGATGCCATGAAATGATTGAGAACGACGATGGGTCGAAGTGCTCTTTTTTCTTTGTATTTTCGATAGGTATTGAATGACTGAATAATTCAAGGGCGGGTGAACTACAGGAGGGTCCTTTTAAGCAGATGACTCGTCGGGCCATCGGAGTAGGACTTATTTGGGAAAAAGGACTTAAATAACTTCGTTTTCCTGAAGTATGTCATTTTCTATCAAGAAGGCTATGCGCTCGGCTAGGACCAGGTCCTGTTAATATAGGTGCCGGGCTGCCTGCTTGCCGAGTTTTTACAGGCTGATCTGCCCGGTCGGCGAACGGTCCAAGACCATTGCCACCTCTGCTAATAGTCAAGTACTTTGAGGTATCTAATAAATCCGTTGTGTTTCTTCTGCACACTTGAAGAGGGTGTCGGTACAGAGCAGCAAGCAACATTTAAAATCCTAATAAATGTGTTCACGCCCCAACACTGAATTGAAAGCAGCTGCAATTTATTGTTGTTGTTGTTGGCGCGGGTGAAATACTTATCCATTCCTCTTTAAACACCTACTTGTTTCATAACGGTACACTGTACTCTGAATTAGTGAACTTGACGAGGGACCACTATTTATAAATGGATCTAATTCGATATATCGATTATACCAATGACTAAAATTCAAAAACACGTATACGATAATATGATATGGTTGTTACATTGGATTAGAATTAAACGAGTATCACAAGAAGCAAATATTATACGTTTATACATTGGGAAAAAGTAAAGATAGAAAATGAGAAAGATTGTGGTATAAATTTTTTTTCTAAAGAAAAAAACAAATATTTTATATCTGCTTTACGTGTCTGTTCTTTATTAATTATCTATACGGAATGAACTATAGTCTTAAAAGCTCATACTCGTAAGCCTAGATGACTTGACACCAATAAATATTATACGTTGTTAAATCATTTTTCACGAATTGTCTCTAGAATTTTCATTTACAACAAAATCAAGGATATATTCAACAATCAATTATTCCACATTTTAAGGGAGACATTGAAAAGTCTACCCTTAACACCATAGCACCAAAAATCGACTTAGAGCTCGAGCTAATGATATACAAAAACACTTTTTACTCAAGTACTTGTAAGTCATGATGGATTTGCAACAACACTAACTATAAACTAAAAGTATTTCTATTTATCGAGACTCTTGTCTTAATTAGTCAACTAAATAGATAGTATTATTCTAAAACAAAAGATGAGGACCCTCTTTAATAGATCATATGATTCATCTTTCTATAGAATAAATATGACAATATATAAGATAAGGAAACAATTCATGTTGCGAAAGTTACAATTAAGACATAAATCATGACCAAATAAGGAAAGAATATTAAGATTATATTCTTTAACAATTTTCTATTGAAATTATCAAGGAAATAATATCACATCTCCCAAGAAGATGGGAAAAAAAAGAAAAAAAATATTCTACTTATATTTTGCCACATTAGCGTTCTGTTAAATTTTCCTTGTAATTATGATTTTATTGATTGTACATATGTAACAAGTGATTTTCAACATACAATCCTTCTCGACATGCTTGCATATTTCATTTTGGAAATTTCGAGTTTTTGATGATTTAGGGTTTCAGATACGCTACTCCTTATATTTAAAACTCGATATTCTCGTAAGCCACCCAACTTTGATAGAAAACACAAATTTTCCCATAGTATGTTTGAATATAGCAGAGAATGAGCATGAAATAATCTTGAAGCCATCTGAATTGTTCTTGGTCAAGGCCTGGTTCTGGAGTTGCTCTTGGTTAATTACAACAGTTCTTGTACTTGAAAAAATTCATAAGTTTTCTTCTTTATTTTTGTGTTAATCCATTTTGGTGCTTAAATTGGGAGGGTGTGGGCCTGATGATCACAAGAATTAACCTAATAGAATTTCTGAAAAATGCGAATTGATGATAAAAACAAACAGGGCCTTGCCCTAGTTCATGATCGTGGGTTCGAGTTTCAATCACCGTAGTGTAAAAATCATTACTAGAGGTCTCTAATCCATTCCTGCCATGGTGCAGATAAAATTGGAGTCTTTATTTCTTGGAATTCATTTTATGTTTTTGCTTTAAATATTCGTTCAGGGTAGAAATTTTGTAAACCAAAAAACTTTGGATTATTACTTCCATTTCTAGTGAATTTTGATATTTCCCCAATGTGGATTTTACCTCCTTATAAACGTGTAAACTTTCTGATAAACAATTACCCTTGTAGTTTTGACACTTCCTGAAAAGTCAGTTGTTATTATTATTATTATTATTATTATTATTATTATTATTATTATAAATTGATAGACACAACCTATTCGATCCCATTCTAGGTTGTAGTTCACTAGGTCTAAAAACTTGTTAAGTTTTTGTGCCCAACTATTATCACTGTGCGGAGTCCATAAACGAATCGACTATTCCCTAATTTTTATTAAAGATAATTTAAAAATTTCACACTTGTAATTTCGATTTTACCCTTTGAAAAAAATTGAGATCAGTCATTAGGGTTCAGAATTATCATTAAAAAGAGAGGTTACACCTTAACATAGTTTACCTTGTAAACTTCTTTTTATCATAATGAATTACTGTAGCAACAAATGAAAACATAGTCTCAGACGAATATTTATAAATCTTGCGTGTTCTTTTCTATCTTTATTTTCTTACTGCGATTTTATTGCTCTTGGTGGTATAGAACTAGATTTTCTAATTCTCAAGAAACATAAACAAATGATAAGAATTTGCAATTTTAATTACTTCACTTATATTTCTACTTTCCAATTCCTTCCTTTTACTGAAATAAGAGAGACAAATAATTTACCCCTCTTAATTATTTCCCTTTTTCCATTTGCAATTAATTGTTATAAATGTCTTCCCTCACCCACACACAATGAAAAAAATTGTTGCTTGGTTGATTTAGGAAACTTTATTGCCTTTGAAAGTAAATACTTTTGTACTTCATTGAAACATTTGCTATGTATTGTTGATTGTTGATTGAATGCATCAATTCATCTAGGCTGCATGCCACATATATTATAATTTGGACCTTGCTACATGTATATCAAGTTTTATATAATGGGTTACATAATGCCGCACGTCACTTTATTATTTGTCAGTTTAGTCAATTTTATTATCCAATCTTTTTCCTCAATATCATTTTGTCATCCCTTATGTACCATTTGTCTATACAATTAGCATAATCCTTATAATTTTCTTTAAATATTTGGGAGGATAAATTATATTTTCTAATATCAAACAACCATTAATTTTGTAAACAGTAAATATACAAGTTTCTACCAATGTTGTGAACTCTAGTTGTATGATTGTGGAAAGAGAAAACATTAGCAGAAAAGTAATTTGACTAGAAAATAATTGATTTTTCTCTTGAACAGAAAATCATATAGAAGTTAATCTAAATCACTGAGGCGTAGAGTAGATCCTATATTGACCCGAAAATGTTGGTCTATATATAGACAAAGTGGACATAAAAGTACGCCCCTCTAAAAGAAATATTTAGGACGATGAGTTCATAACCCTTCGAGCACAACCAACTTCTATCGAACTAGCTTAATTTTAACTTCAAATTCATATTCGTTTATCATCTTAAATTACGCATGAGACCAAGAAGAATTATCGCCATACATGGTTTTAATATGGTAATACCTATTAATTTTCGAAGATATGAACATGCCATAAATTAGAATGGGAGAGTGTTAGTTATAAAATAAAAAAAAAAAAAAAAAAAGGTTGAACCCCAATCTTGAGGGCCCCCACCGCCCTGTTCCTAGAGTTTTGTGAGGGAGGTAAATTGTGGGATGTGCCCCAATAGGTCAGGGAACAAGAGCTGCCTGTACACTGCGCCTACAAGAAGTTCAATTCCATGTCTCAGGAATCGAACCCCCACACTACGGCTGCCAGCAAGGCGTGAGATAACCTCACTCCTATCCTTTGCACCATTGGACTATGCCCCGGGNATATATTCAACAATCAATTATTCCACATTTTAAGGGAGACATTGAAAAGTCTACCCTTAACACCATAGCACCAAAAATCGACTAGAGCTCGAGCTAATGATATACAAAAACACTTTTTACTCAAGTACTTGTAACTCATGATGGATTTGCAACAACACTAACTATAAACTAAAAGTATTTCTATTTATCGAGACTCTTATCTTAATTAGTCAACTAAATAGATGGTATTATTCTAAAACAAAAGATGAGGACCCTCTTTAATAGATCATATGATTCATCTTTCTATAGAATAAATATGACAATATATAAGATAAGGAAACGATTCATGTTGCGAAAGTTACAATTAAGACATAAATCATGACCAAATAAGGAAAGAATATTAAGATTATATTCTTTAACAATTTTCTATTGAAATTATCAAGGAAATAATATCACATCTCCCAAGAAGATGGGAAAAAAGAAAAAAATAATCCACTTACATTTTGCCACATTAGCGTTCTGTTAAATTTTTCCCGCACTTATGATTTTATTGATTGTACATAAGTAACAAGTGATTTTCAACATACAATCTTTCTCAACATGCTTGCATATTTTATTTTGGAAATTTCGAGTTTTTGATGATTTAGGGTTTCAGATACGCTACACCGTATATTTAAAACTCGATATTCTTGTAAGCCACCCAACTTTGATAGAAAACACAAATTTTCCCATAGTATGTTTGAATATAGCAGAGAATGAGCATGAAATAATCTTGAAGCCATCTGAATTGTTCTTGGTCAAGGCCTGGTTCTGGAGTTGCTCTTGGTTAATTACAACAGTTCTTGTACTTGAAAAAATTCATAAGTTTTCTTCTTTATTTTTGTGTTAATCCATTTTGGTGCTTAAATTGGGAGGGTGTGGGCCTGATGATCACAAGAATTAACCTAATAGAATTTCTAAAAAATGCGAATTGATGATAAAAACAAACAGGGCCTTGCCCTAGTTCATGATCGTGGGTTCAAGTTTCAATCACCGTAGTGTAAAAATCATTACTAGAGGTCTCTAATCCATTCCTGCCATGGTGCAGATAAAATTGGAGTCTTTATTTCTTGGAATTCATTTAATGTTTTTGCTTTAAATATTCGTTCAGGGTAGAAATTTTGTAAACCAAAAAACTTTGGATTATTACTTCCATTTCTAGTGAATTTTGATATTTCCCCAATGTGGATTTTACCTCCTTATAAACGTGTAAACTTTCTGATAAACAATTACCCTTGTAGTTTTGACACTTCCTGAAAAGTCAGTTGTTATTATTATTATTATAAATTGATAGACACAACCTATTCAATCCCATTCTAGGTTGTATTTCACTAGGTCTAAAAACTTGTTAAGTTTTTGTGCCGAACTATTATCATTGTGCGGAGTCCATAAACGAATCGACCATTCACTAATTTTTATTTAAGATAATTTAAAAATTCCACACTTGTAATTTCGATTTTACCCTTTTAAAAAAAAATGGTGATCGGTCATTAGGGTTTAAAATTATCATTAAAAAGTGAGGTTACACCGCAACATAGTTTACCTTGTAAACTTTTTTTTTTATCATAATGAATTACTGTGCAACAAATGAAAACGTAGTCTCAGACGAATATTTATAAATCTTGTGTGTTCTTTTCTATCTTTATTTTCTTACTGCGATTTTATTGCTCTTGGTGGTATAGAACTAGATTTTCTAATTCTCAAGAAACATACACAAATGATAAGAATTTCCACTTTTTATTACTTCACTTATATTTCTACTTTCCAATTCCTTCCTTTTACTGAAATAAGAGAGACAAATAATTTACCCCTCTTAATTATTTCCCTTTTTCCATTTGCAATTAATTGTTATAAATGTCTTCCCTCACCCACACACAATGAAAAAATTGTTGCTTGGTTGATTTAGGAAACTTTATTGCCTTTGAAAGTAAATACTTTTGTACTTCATTGAAACATTTGTTATGTATTGTTGATTGTTGATTGAATGCATCAATTCATCTAGGCTGCATGCCACATATATTATAATTTGGACCTTGCTACATGTATATTAAGTTTTATATAATGGGTTACATAATGCCGCACGTCACTTTATTATTTATCTGTTTAGTCAATTTTATTATCCAATCTTTTTCCTCCATATCATTTTGTCATCCTTTATGTACCATTTGTATGTACAAGTAGCATAGTTCTTAGAATTTTCTTTAAATATTTGGGAGGATAAATTATATTTTCTAATATCAAACAACCATTAATTTTGTAAACAGTAAATATACAAGTTTCTACCAATGTTGTGAACTCTAGTTGTATGATTGTGGAAAGAGAAAATATTAGCAGAAAAAGTAATTTGACTAGAAAATAATTGATTTTTCTCTTGAACAGAAAATCATATAGAAGTTAACCTAAAGCACTAAGGCGTAGAGTAGATCCTATATTGACCCGAAAATGTTGGTCTATATATAGACAAAGTGGACATAAAAGTACGCCCCTCTAAAAGAAATATTTAGGACGATGAGTTCATAACCCTTCGAGCACAACCAACTTCTATCGAACTAGCTTAATTTTAACTTCAAATTCATATTCGTTTATCATCTTAAATTACGCATGAGACCAAGAAGAATTATCGCCATACATGGTTTTAATATGGTAATACCTATTAATTTTCGAAGATATGAACATGCCATAAATTAGAATGGGAGAGTGTTAGTTATAAAATAAAAAAAAAAAAAAAAAAAGAAGAAGGTTGAACCCCAATCTTGAGGGCCCCCACCGCCCTGTTCCTAGAGTTTTGTGAGGGAGGTAAATTGCGGGATGTGCCCCAATAGGTCAGGGAACAAGAGCTGCCTGTACATTGCGCCTACAAGAAGTCCAATTCCATGTCTCAGAAATCGAACCCCCACACTACGGCTGCCAGCAAGGCGTGAGATAACCTCACTCCTATCCTTTGCACCATTGGACTATGCCCCGGGGGGCATGGGAGAGTGTTAGTTGTTAACACATGTGATCACTTTCACTAAAGTTCATTATTCCATTCCAGTCCTCCTTTTCTCCTCTTCAGTCACAAGAGCAATAATTAACCCCCCATCTACTTTGCGTAGTATTTATTACAATCCAGAATCGAATTTACAGTTCTTCAGAAAACATGAATGGCTTGTCCTGAACTAATCCCAATTGCATACAATTTATTGTTCAAGAACCCACGGACATCAGACTGCAATTAATATTTGGACTTCTACCAGCAAAAATGGCACCAATTTCTTGTTGGACTGTGTGGAATGTAATAATAGCATCCTTTTGAGTTTCATTTTCTTCTCTTAAAATTTACTTTTTAAAGTCAAATATTAATTTTAACGGCATATTACGCACTTATCACCCACTAATTTTTTGAAATGTAGAAATTTAGTAAAATAAAATGAATACCAAACCAAGGCATAGTGTACACTTTTTCCTCGACAAGGGATCGGCCTAGTATATATTCCTATTATGAAAGGACTTTCTTAGACGTTCAGTTTGACAGTTTTGTGGGTTTGAGTAGAGAAATACTCGAGTAGGACGATCCTATAGCACATGCAGCACGACCGCTCACTCAAATCATTGCACCTCTAATACATCTTCATTATAGTGAAGAAATCCAACTATAGCCAGTGTAATCGAACCATTATAAATATGTGTGCTTTTTTAGTGTTTCAAATTTCACATGACTTATAGACTAGAGTTTCTCCATTAAGAAGAGATAAAAAGTTTATCCTCGAGCTCGAAAATCAACCTAATACTATTACCATATATAAAGGATTCTTTAGGGTGCCAATTTTGAGAGGGGAAAGATGTGAGAAAAAATGTATGTATCAAGTATTAACGCAATTGAACCACTATAAATATATTTGTTTCTTTTGCTTATTTTCATTTTAGCCCTCGTTTGATCCCCATTAAATTCAATTACATTACATTCCATTTTTCTCTCTTTTATTTTCAGCCACACAATCTTCCATAAAATAATATTACACATAAATCGAAAACTTTTCCTTTTTTTTCAATCACTTATTTTTCTAAAAAATACTATTCCTCCCATTTCCATTTTCAGGCAATGGAGGTCAAACGGGGGCTTATTCAATATTGCTCTCGTAAACAAGGATCAGGGTTTAATTCATAAGTAATACGCCTTTCTGTAGATTTAGTGTTCAACTTATTCTAACCTTAAAGATTTAGATGCTTGCAATTCAAGATAGAATAAACTAATACCATGAAGATTAACCCAATGTGTGCGCTTGCTTGCTTTGAAGTTAGATATTTTCATGATGAATGCAGAAGAAGATTTTACATACATACATAGGAAACCTCTTAACAACCCAAGTTACAATAAATTCAGATTTTAATGGTTTTAAATGCTGTGTGGAAGAGTTCGATTTAGGCATTAAAGTGACATCTACTTGTCACCTTTAATGCTTGGCCTTCCCTACTTTTAATGTGTGCGATGAAATCCAATTTAAGGACGATTTGACAGACACTACCTTGCATGAATTTTTGCAAATTAAATTTAAAACAAAAAACCATGAATTTGTGATATAAGTCCTTTCTTCTCTCAATTTTCATTTTCAGTTTTTAGTCGATATCATAGTCGATTCAATGGAATTCCCAGAATTATCTTTGGCTCCCAATTATGAATCTTTTGATCCATCTGATGCAAGTCTTCCTATGAAGAGGAAATGGATGAATACAGAATCTCCTAGTGTTGATCTTCAGCTCAAAGACCCCCTTCCCTTGGATTGGGAGCAATGCCTTGATCTTGAAGTATACCCATCACACTCTCTCTCTCTCTCTCTCTCTCTCTGTGTTTTTTTTGTATATTATGTATGTATTTATAAATTACAATGTTGGACTGTGTAGGAACTCGATACATGTATTAGGTTGACTTATCCTTCAATTCCCATATTAAGTAGGCAAATTTTTGTTTGTGAGCGAAATGACATCGCCTTTACAATTGTTTCGACATCTCCTTCGACCTAGTGTGACAAAGTTGACGTAGCTCTCACCTTGAGGCTCTATCTTTGCTCATTTTAGGATGATAACTAATACCTTAAACCCATAGCATTTATATTCTGTCATCGTGTCAGTTGTACTAGAGTCTACATCTTATTTGACATGCTAACTATAATTACTTAGTAACATTTTACGGAATCCATGATGAACTATCTCTTATCTTTCGTGTTTGCAGTCGGGAAGAATGTACTATCTAAACCGGAAAACATCGAGAAAAGCGTGGAACCGGCCGGAAGAACAGAAGATTGATCTCGATCTGAACATATCAATCTGCAGTGAGAAACAAAATAATTGGGGCTCAGATAATCAACAAGAAATGATCAATGAACAGCAGCATTCATCAAGCAGCAGCAGCATGATTGCTTTAGTTTGTTCAAATTGTCATCTTCTTGTAATACTTTCAAGGACTTCTCCTTCCTGTCCTAACTGCAAGTATGTTCACTCTCTTGCAACATCACCACAAGCTCGGCCCGACTCGTCCGTTTCGTCTTCCTATCGCAACTTAAGCCTTTGAACAAGATATATATCCATATATATGTATCCTGTAAGGTGTTGCCAAATAAATTGTACTGTATGTATTCCTTTTTTAAACTTCTTATCAATGATTTTTATGGGACATCTATTTATATTCGGTTGTTATATCACTGATAGTCCTAGAGGAGGAAATTACATGACGTTGACAGCAGTAAATTCAACTTTCATTTTTATTAGTGGGGAACCATAGGTAAATCCACCTAGCAAACACATGCAGGGCATCTGTTAGCACAATATCTCGGTGTGATTGTGATATTTGAATAACTCATCATTGGGAACACTCCAGTCAAAGTTAAATATTAATGGCAAGTGAAATCACACATAAGAATATAAATTTTTTGGCCCAAATGGGTATTGAAGCCCAAAGAGCGGAGCCTTGATTCCTAGGTTAATTAAGAAGGGTCATTCTGTACTTCATAAATCAAGCTACAAATTGAGAGTTCTTTTATTTTCAGATGCAATTGACACGTTTTACATAGAGGATTGGACCATACTTGACAGTTGACGATAATATGAAAGAAAAATAAGTTGAAATTTTTTAAGGTATTTTCTAATGGGGTCTAGTGGTTCAGAACAAGCTCGCATTCATTGGACACTATATTCGAAAGAAATGGAAAATAAGAAAAAAGTTCATATATTTTTCCTACTTAATATATTATGTAGTCTATCTCACTAGATAAGCACTTGGGATTGAATTAATTTGCCTCTAATCTTTCTTTCTCTTGTGCAACTCCCCAAAATAAAAATAAAGCAATATATAGGCTATGCCCACCATATGAAACAAGCACCAAGTGTCAAGTTTGCCTTTAATGTACATAGTCCATCATAGGAAACAATCACTCAGCGTTGAGTTTGCCTTCAATCTTTCTTTCTCCCATGCCCATTTCTCCTCCTCAAAATTATTATACTTATTTCTTGATTGGATAAAACCACCTGTCCTGGCTGCTTGGGGACAGGTTTAAAAACAGGGGCGCCATACAGGGAGCAAGGTTCTTCTTGATTAATCATTTAGCATTGTTGTACAATATATGTACAATATTTTACTGCGAAAGATACTTATATCAATGATTGAGGTATATTGGAAGCATATAGTAAAAAACAAAAAGGGAAACCCTTTGTAAAATAGTGTAATACATGCCTTATAATTCCTTGTGGGATCCCTTTAGGAAACTTAATAGGGCCTAAATAATTAGGTCATTAGGAAATCTATGTTGAAAAAGAGGGTCTCAAAACCCCTATTTCAACATATGAAAGGACTGATATTTGGCAAATTGTACTCAGTTTCAAATAATGGCATATTGCAATCAGGTTCTGTCGGGTAAATTCACTTTTTGCAAGAATAAATTCTACAATTCAAATAACTAATTAGAGTGATTAAATAAGCAAATAAATATCTAAGCAAAACAAGACAACACATTACAGAATTTTAATGTGGAAAAAACCTCTAGTGTAGAGAGGAAATAAATCATGGGACAACTCTAACCAAATCCACTATAATAAATCGAGATTACAATGTTCAAGTTTATGCCTAAAACTTGAGTTCTCACTAAATCGGGAATACAACTGGCGCCGTTGTCGAGGATTGAGTTTAGTTTAATTTAATTTCTCGAGGTACTAATTCGAATTTCGATTTTTATTTTGCTAGTATAATTTTGTTTTCATTTTTATTTTAGGTTATTATCCTTTATTTGTGTTTTAGTTATTTAAATTGTTTGAATTTCAATGCTTGTACTGGTTTTGTTTCTCAGATTTGCATGCCACGATCAATTGGAGGAGAATTGATTCCAGCTGATCCTGAAATCGAGAGCACCTTTCATCGACTACAAAGAGATCACCGAGAAGCACAAGTACAAATGGCTAACGAACTAAACAATCCCATTATTCAGGCTAATGAAGGAGAGGCAATGGACGAAAAAAAATGAGATTTTGGGATATTTCTTGACTCCTCAAATAATTCAAAGTCAACCCAGCATAGTGTATCCACCGTTTGGACAGCTAAATTTCTAGTTGAAGACCAATGTGATACAATTATTTCAAAATGGACACCAGTTTTATGGCAAAACCGAGGAGAATCCACATACACACATATCTCAATTTTTGGATATGTGTTAACATTTCAGATACCAAGGGATTTCGGATGATGCTATTAGGCTAAGTCTGTTTCCACATACGCTACGAGACAGAGCACTTGAATGGTTGTATTCACTTCCGATTGCAAGTAACACTACATGGAACGAGTTGGCACACAAATTCTGCACAATTTTTTTCTCCCCAGCCAAGATAGCGAAGCTGAGACATGACATATCAATATTCAAGGAGAAATCAAATCATTTGACGAAGGTTGGAACATATTCAAAAACATGCTCCGGAAGTGCCCTCAACATGAATTTGATAAAAAGACCCAAATTCGATTCTTCTACACAGGGATAATTCCATACCACAAGAGCATGGTGGATTCAGCATCAGATGGCTCAATATCCACACGAACAGATGGGGCATTGGAATTATTTGAGAGAATGGCTACCACATCAGCCATG